AACACGAAGACGCAACGCTAACCTCCCGACCCCTACCCTCATTCATACATAGGAGAAAAGAGAACAGTACTTAGGGCCTGTTTACGTCTCCTCTGCAATAAGAAGCCTGATTTCTACACGATCTACACACTGAACATACCTATGATGGAAAACACTGAACTGCTTGTTCAGCTTCTTTGAATTTCTCAGTCATAACAAAAAATGATGTAGTACTGTCAAGTAAGTGAATATTCGACACAAAGTATATCACTTCAAATATATGATTAATATTTGTGAACGTGCAAAGCTATCAGATTCATGTCAAATATCTTACTTAATTAATCATAGAGCTGAGCTCTTCTTGAGGAACCGCAAATTCTGCAGCTACTCAAGAAATTCCCAGCATTTTATGGAACCCGGAGGTTCATTATCGTGTTCACAAGAGCCCTCCACTGGCCCCTATCCTGGGCCAGATCAATCCAATCCATACCATCCCATTCTATCTCTCTAAGATCCATTTTAATATCGTCCACCCACCTACGCCTTGGTTTTCCTAGTGGTCCCTTTCTGTCTGGCTTTCCCACCAGTATCCTATATGCATTCCTCCTCTCCCCAATTCGTGCTACATGCCCTGTCCATCTCATCCTCTTGGATTTGATCATTCTAATTATACTTGGAGAAGAGTACAAGTTATGAAGCTCCTCATTATACAGTTTTCTCCAACCTCCTGTCACTTCGTCTCTCTTCAATCCAAACACCCTCAGTCTATGTTTCTCCCTTTCAGAGACCAGGTTTCACACCCATATAGAACCACTGGCAAAATTATAGTTTTGTATAATATAATTTTTATGTTTTCGGACAGCAAACGAAAAGACAAAAGGTTCTGGACTGAATGGTAGCAAGCATTGTCCGGGTTCAACCTCCTCTTAATTTCCTCTTGAATCAGGTTTTGATTTTATTATCGTTGTTCCCGAATATCAGAACTGTGTCACATTTTCAGAACTTCGGTTTCCTATCTTTATGTCATGATTTTGCCTGCACTTTGATGACGAGACAGCAACTTAGTTTCCTTTGCGTTTACTTCTAGACCAACCTTCTTAATAAAATCAATTAAAGTTTGTGTGTCAAATATACATATTAAAAATTGCAATGCCGATGTGAGACATCTGATGCTTTGAATTTAAATAACCCGATCTGCTGAACCGGGTTTCACATCCCAGAATACCATGACGTAGCTTTTCACGAATATGATAGTTACGAGTCCTGCAGCAGAGAATTAAATTTCCCGGCACTGCGGCTTCTATCTTCGTATGGGATGTGCAACTGTATGAGTTTCCACCTGATACTGGTGTGAGAAAGGTAATATTTCCGGTGTGCTGACTGCCGATACATATTGCGAACCGTATCCACATCTGCGCCAGGGAACGCACTCAAATATCAACTCCAGCAGAGCAGAACCGGCACAGCCGCTCTCTACCTACGCACCTCACATATCAGATTTATTACAGAGTCAACTTCTATAGCTGCAGTCACAGGTTCGCCGCTGTAATTTTTGTTTGAACGTGCTCTAGAAGAACAAATTATAAAATTGCCAAATAATTTAATATAAAACCAAATGACGTACAGACGTACTTTGTTCGCGAGAGCTAGCCACTGGTAACTATTCTGAGCCAGATAAATCCAATGCACAAACTTTCTTCATATTTAATTTATATCCATTTAAATTTTTTCCTCCTAATCATGTCTACGGCCAGTCACGGTAGCAGAGCGGTCTAAGGCATGCACTGTCTTCGCTCATCCGAAACCGGGATCGTGAATCCCAATCAGGGCATGGTTGTTTAGTGTTTGTGTGTATGTGTTTTCTGTGTTTGTGTACATGTAGAGGCCTTGCGACGAGTTGATCACCCGCCCAAGGAGTTCTACCGAATATCTAGGATCTAGTAAACCGAAGTGAAACGGAGAATTTCTCGGAGGTAGGCCAAGGCTCAAATTGGGGCTGTAGCGCCAAAAAGAGACTCATGTCTACCTCTTCGAAAGGTATCTTCCATTCGAGTATCCTTACAAAAACGTATGAAATGCTGTTCCGATAATATAACAATTACAGACCTATATATATATATATATAGGTGATAGATGAACACGTGTTACTTGTTTAATAGGTCTCAATATAATTTTTGTCTTTACATGTTTCGGTCACTATAGGTCATCATCTGAAAGCAAAGCCAACAGTATAACAAAGCGCTTTACATGTATTAATTGAACATAAATTGTCACTGTAATATCATAAAGGTGCTCATAATATCCGTATAAGTTATACATAAATTGTTAATGCATCATCATCAGTAATCTGTCAGACGACAGGTCCACAGTCTCTTCCAAAACAATTCCTCCACTTAATGCGATCTAGAGCTTTCTCCTTCAAATGACAGTATCCTCTTCTGTCCCCAAGGTCATCCAGCATTTTCTTAGGTCTTCTTCCTCGTCTTCTTCTCACTTCTATCCGCCACTCTATCTTTCCTTCAATAACTTCTTTTAGAAAGCAGTTTCTGCGTAAAACATGACGAATCCAATTAGCCTTCCGTTTTCTTATTTCGTGTAGGATATTCCTCTGCTCACTGACTCTAATTAACACTTCTTCATTTCTCACATAATCGGTCCAACTGATCTTCTCCATCCTTCTCCAACACCACATTTCGAAGCTTTCCAGGTGTTTCTGATCTATTGCCCTAAGTGTCCATGTTTCAGCCCCATACAGAGCTATGCTCCAAATGTAGCATTTCACAAGTTTCTTCCTCAAATTTAAGTCCAATTTGCTGATACAATTAAAATAAATTGTGTATAACAAGATTAAAGGGTTAAAATCATCACAAATGATTGGCCAACGAGTATTTACCATTTATTAACATTTCTTCAGATTAGAGAAGCCGAGCGGTCTAAGGCATGAAATGCGTTCGCTCGCTTGAACACCGGGACCGTGGGTTCGAAACCCACTGAAGGCATGGATGTTTATCTGCGTTTATTCTGTTTGTGTCTAGGTAGCGGTCTTGCGACGAGCTGATCTCTCGTTCAAGGAGTCCTACCGGATTTATAAGATTAAGAAACAAGCGAAACGAAACGTTTCGCGGATCCCCTATGCTCCAATTCGGAACAACGGGAACAAAGAGAGATAGATCATTGCTTCAACATAAAACAAGAACTTCTGGTAAGAACTAATAGTCTATTCTCTTTGATACGACTCGGACCGCGTAGAAAACACGTGTCCGGCCTTTCTTCTATTGCTGAGTTGAGGCTTACAGAGACTTTTCCTAGTAACTACTCGTATAACTGGGGATACACAACACACCGACAATAAGATGATCCCATGGGACTACTAATATATTTTCAAAGTAGGCTAAATGTTATACAGAGGTAAAATAAGTTACCCTATATTTGCAGACAAGTACGGCTCACAATACAAGATTTATCAGGCTTCTACATAATCAATATAGTTATAACAACCATCATTCCATATGACTGTCTACTCAACAAGGCTCCTCACCTTGATTCGGCTTATTTTAACCAATTCCTCTTGATATAAACACTTTATTTACAATGTATTAACAATCTAGTCTCGATTTCTACGGCTACTCTAGGTCGCTTTATGATCTTGTGACATGAGGGCTGAGAAGACCGGAAGAATGGAGCCTGGAGAAATTGCCCATTGTGTGGCAATGGCTGGGTAAACATATTTCGGTGGTAACGGATACTGAAGCACCAGCTGTTGGAAGCAGTGTTTTCTATGGGGTCCGTGCCGAGACTATATATATAGAGAGAGAGCCATGGGGAAACGTTAGTCAGTCAAGACTAGGAGTTACGGCCATGAGTTAGCGGTAAGAAGGTAGAAGGCCGGCAACGACGTAAGCAGAAGAGGATATTCTTTTAAACCGTTACTAGGCAACGACTGGTGAAGACGTAGCGCACAGAGAAGTCATAACATGTGCTATAGTGAATTGTAAAATGTCTAGATTAGCGATAGAGCTATAATTTCTTGTAGTTTAGTTTAGTTTTCAGTAAATCCAATTACCAATCTAAAACCCCGTCTGGTCACTAACAGGTGACAATATTTTACTTACAACTTAAGTTCAATCAACATATGTAAAGCAGTTCCTTTATAGTGCCTTATATGTCTTATGATGATGGCCAATAGTGGCTGAAACTTGTTAAAGCAAAACTTTTACTTGATCGTATTAACCTAGTTACATTTGGTTGACTTGTAAGAGTATAATAAGACGGGTAACGGCTCAGGATACCTCGCATAAAGATTTGTTATCAAATTCCTTGTTTTATTATGATTTCGTGTCCAGCTTATCAATTCTATTGTGATCAGTGATTCAGGCATCAAACAGAACTCGGCAGGACTATGTGTTTGAGGAACACTACTGACCGGTCAAGGTCATGTGATTCAGTCACTCTCCCTGCTTGTATACATTGGAGATGGTGCATGCACCGTCCCATTTCTTCTCTCTCACTCCGGATGCTCTGTAAGTTAAAGAGGAGTGAGTACAGGGGAAGCCCAGGTGGGCTGAGGAAGAATGTGAAAGCGAATGACGTTGACAGAACAAATTGTGCTCTATTCTCCGAGTATGTGAATGAGAGGTTGTGTATCAAATGGAGATGAAACTTGGGAAAACCAGAAATAAATAGAAAGGTTACGATCAAGCAGGAGGACTGAATGTATGTAACAAGCCATAAAGTTTAACGAAGCAAAGAAGAAGAGAAGGGCGCTTTCAGTGTTCTCCTGTGAGTGTGCTCTATTTTGTTTTCAGCAATATAGTTTCTGTTTATACACGATCTCATTTGGCCAAGAGAACTTATAATCTACATCCAGTTCTAAAATATTTACATTCTGCTATATATACAAGTATATATATACTTACATATGTAAACTCTCCAGTTGGTACAACTATAACCTTGTAATTTAAAATATCCTCTTGTTAGATTTTCCGAGATAATTGTAATGTGAGCACGGTAGGTGTACCTACCTCCAGAAGCAACGCAGGTTATCTGCGCAGTGCTGCCCTCAATGTACGGCCCTATTACCCGCTTCTGCTGTACGTTCGTTCCGTTCTCGTCCAGAATCGTCAGCTTCCTGGGCGGAACTGCAAAGCAAAGCAGAGCAAAGGTAATTCATGAACTGTAAATTTACCTTCTGTTCATTACACAAGTTCTGCTTGATTATAAGACTCGCGTAGCATTAACGTCCGCTGTAGAGAACTCGGAGACTTTTCTGATGGCGGGCTGAGCGATGTCAAAATATTCGGCTGGAGCGGTGGGTCTCGAGGTGTGGTCTGTGAACACCTAGGTGTCCGGCAGGTCTGGCCAGGTGTCCGGAGAGTATTAGACTACATTTCTTATCTTGAAAAAATAAAAGGAAGTTGGCTAGATCACCATGTTTTCAGCCTGTGTATCGGTCTACGTCTATCCATCCGGTATTCAAATGCCCCTAAATTGACGCATGCGCACAGTAATGTAAAAAAAAATAAAGCTATCCCTGTAATAGGCCGTGAAGTCCTATAGGGTTGTGAGATGTCGAGGTTCCCACATTTTATCCAGACAGTCTGCTCACAGATGGCGGTAAGGTTGCCAACCTTACGCGCCGGCCGCCATTTACCCCCTTATGAAGATGCCTGGTACTCAATTCTGTTAGATGCTGAGTCGATCCCAGGGCCATAGTGCGGCTGGAAGGATTAGGTCAGTTGAAAAATCAACCTCATCAAGACTGGAACCCGCAACCTTCCTGCTTCTAGCATAGTGCCTCAACAAACTATGCTACCACCTGCCCAACACATGTGATTATTTGACTCAATATGTAGATAGGTAGGTATTTAACTAATTTCATGGAGCCAAGCCCTTCTTTAGAAGCCCCCAATTGCGCAGCCACTCAAGAACTTCCCAGAAATTTATGGAAACGGGAAGTTCTTTACTTTACTCATAAAAGCTTTTCATTGGTCTTCGTAGTGGTCTTTTCCTTCTGGCTTTCTCACCAACACCCAATATGCGCACAGTCATATACGCTAGATGAAATAAGTATTGCACGCAAAATTTTGATATTTCCGCTGTATTCTTCTGGTTCTGTTAATTTTCTCAATAAAAGTGTTTGAATTGTGTGCACTCATTTTCGGACACCATGTATGATATTGAAAGTTTTCATTTTACGAAAGTTATTCATCTGTACTAAGGCGTAACAAATATTTTGGACTCGAAACTGAGTGCAAGTACTTGTGCTAGCCTATTTTCAACAAAAATAGGAACCAAAGTCGCAACACTGTAAATCTGTTTGAAGACGCAGGGATTCTCTTCCATAAGATGGAAGATATGACGTAGTCTCAAGGGTGTTATGGACAAAGTTTACATCCTTTTTCAATGCACTGACATCTGCGGGCTACTACAGCATTTTGAATAGGAGTGTTGTTGCATAATTACTATCCGAAATTTATATTATTTTCATTAGTTTTATAATCGGAGGTCAGGCACATGCCACTGAAAAATACTTCAGTGTGAAACGAAAAGTGTTTTACTGCATTACTAACGTCATAAATTTTAACAAACCTGTCTTGAAAAATAAATGAATCCTACATACGCGCAGAGAGCAAGAGAAGGTGAAGGCTGAGAAACGCTCTCTGCGAGAAAGGCCACACTCCAGCAAACTAAGGACCAGTCGCTGCAGAGCTATTCAAACTTGTATATTCCAGCATACCTTGAGCTTCAAGGCTCATAGGTACAAGTAAAAAAAAAAAGCAAAATTCAGCCAATTAAAGGAATAAAAGTAAGCCCTCCTCTTCTTAGCGCAAAGTATTTTCTTCTCCACTCATTACATTCTGTACTGCCAATTAAAACATTCCACATCTACCGCTGCCAACCAGGTATATACCCCACTTCACAATGTCTCTCTACATCCTCTCGTATTCACATTTTACTTCAACCATACGGGCAGCCTTTCAGGGTAAAATTAAGTTTGGAGGGATAGGTTTATTTTGTAAAGTGAAGAAATGTCCTGAAAGAAATGGGTTACATTCGTTCGGTGGCCACCTTTGCTCCATACCAGGACGTCTAAAAGACTTCAGTTGTTAAAAACGCAGATCGCAGAGCAAGGAATTCAGGACTGCGCAGCTTTCCCGTTGGAACAGAGGAACGCGAGGGTTCAGAACGATTTATTTTCCAGGTCATGACACCAAATTTGCAGAGGAATGTATCAGGGATACAAGAGCAACCCATGGTCCATATACCACACGCCCGCACTCTGCATTTTGCACAGCAGATAAAATCTTGAATGAAGGCAGAAAAGGAGTTTACACCTTTCCAGTGCTTTTAGAAAGCGATTATGTGAGCTCAGATACAAGCTAGCAAAGCCAAAGAATGGCATTCGATTAATTATACATATATAAATATATCAAAGTTTGTACATTTAATTACATTGCAATTTAAATTCTAAGTTATAAAGGCGTTTTAATCTCAGAATATTCTGTTATAATGGAAATAGACGAACATAACCATGAACTGAAAATAGAGTGCGTTGTCATCGCTGCAGCTACGTAATAGGCGGATCCTGGTTTCAGTTTATAGAAAAGTGACCGGCAATCTTAATCACACTTTCTCGTGGTTTTCTCAGTCCTTCCAGGCAAATTCTGCAACATGATCTTAATATTACTCACGCTTTCTTCAGGCGACCTTTACAGAATATCATTCTAAAATGGCTTCTCACTCGCGACTACATGACCAATGCAGACGAAAAATCGTTATTAAAATAAATTACAAGGTAAACAGGAAATAAATCCAATATGGATACGTTTAGAACAATTCAATATTACATTATTATGGCTCAGTTCTGGATGAATCCTTTATTTTAAATTTAGTATTCAAGTTTACTATTTAATACACGAATTTCATCGTCATTATTAGCATCATCAGTACCAAAAAACAAAAATACATTGCATACACTTCCCTTAGTGTCGAATTTATGAAAGAGGTCTAATCAAATTGTAACAAAATCATAAGACTACTTCACAAATTGGACCGTAAATTTAACGAATAAGGCAAGGTACAAGGAAAAAATGACAAAGCATTAGAGTTATAGGTTAAAGTCGATATCTCCTGGCTGCGTTAATGCGGTGTCAAGTGGATGCAACAAGTTTTTCATACGATACTGAAAGCCCAGAAGTTCTATAGAACCTAGAAAGATTCACATTTTACACACGGTTCAAGGCATGTTGTTTAAAAGAACAGCGCGCAAGAATCTTAAGGGCAGAGGGGCTCAAATTGTGATTTGTAGTTCTCTTACTTGAAGTTATACCTTACGAACTCACGACCGCGAGAAGTACGTACAGTAAGAAACCTCTTATTGTGAATAATAGCGAGAACGAACGTGAAAGTGCGGTGTAGTAGGCGTTAGAGTAATTCTACAGAAATTTCTCCTCCATTACACGTTACAGGGCCCCTCCAAAGCAATGACTCACACATACAGTCATTACATTTTTTAATTAAGTGCTGACAAATAGATTCGAAACAACATAATTTAAAATTAAATACAATTTAATTCAAAAGTTCAGATGTCTCTTTCATACCCTCTGTTACGTCGTGGTGGGGTGGGGCGTGAAGGTATCCCCACCGCTTCCACCACTGTTGTGCCCTTAATCCTTACGACAGGGGTGGATTGGTAGTCCCACCACTGTCTCCACTGTTATGCCACCAGTTACGGGGGTATGGACTAAGGAAACGTCTGAATAGCTTTCTCTATCGTTGCTTCATGGCTAGGGGCTCTCTGTTCACCGGGCTTGTCAGGAGGGCGCAGGTGCGAAATGTGGAAGGGGAGAAAATCACCACAAAAACCCACATCCTCACCCTATGCTACACTATATTAGTAAAAACACAATCAATATACAGTTATATACATTTGGAATTCTCACACTGAAAGGGCCGACTGGTGTCGGGTTACACATTACACTTGGCTACCTCGCATCACTCGGTTGGTCATTCTTACGCCCTGTACACTTTTCCTAACGTTCCTAGCTAGTCCCATTGGAGGAGTTACACTTTAATAATATTACAATTATTGCGCATGGCGATAAGAGTAGTTTCCACTTACTTTGCGTTGAGTCTGCAGACGGATGGCGTTGCCGGGAGTCGAGTCGGTGTCCATTTGGACAGAGCCTACGGCCGCAACTGGCCAAAATTACTGTTAGAATAATCCCCTTCCTAATTTGGTCTCTGGGTTATATACCCCTATGTATGCTTACTCATTATAATGAGTTTATAATTATTTTCCCGGAGGGTGTAAGTCCGCCTCCAATGACGTCTTATCCCAAGGTGGGTGATCTCGTTGGCTGGGATCCTAAGGCGACACACCCCCTTCTACTGCTAAACCGTTTGGCTGACACTTTTACCTCCAAATGTACCCCCATCACACAAGTGTAAATTCTGTAGTTAGCAGTTCGATATACATTCAACGTCATTCTGCTGACTGGACATTCCCTCGTGGCAAGCCAATGTCCGTCTAAATCCATACGCAGAAATTCCTTTAAGTTGTTAACCTTTCTTACATCCGCTTTCGTACCTCTTACAAATATTTCCCAAAACCAAATCTATCCTAACAAATATTTTCCCCTAAAATACAAAAAGTTAATACTATGTTAGCATATTCCCGGGGGTTGGCATTCACTGCACCACACCCTCATAAAATTCGTTATCAGTTTCTTTACATGTTTCTAATTTAAACTCATCGTACTTGGGTCAAGATATCCAAACCAGTTACTTGTATATTGTAGTACTGCTTTAGCATGTAGTACTTTAAGCCATGTGCTGCCACTGAATCAATAATTGTGTTCATTATAACAGAGGATACACATTTTTTTAACCTACATGAATGAAGAAACGGAATTACTTTTTGTTCATGTATGAGATAACACAGTTTTATTTGTTCAGAAAATACTGCTCGAAAATTATTTCGAGGAATTTCGTGTTTGTTTTGCGTATTTAAATTCAGTTACGCAACATAAATTCTGAGCGTCATGCAGTATTTCTCTACAGTGTCTTACACACATTGTACAGCATTATGAAGCTTGCAAAGCGAAACAGATGTGACAGAATGCGAACAGCACATATT